TCCATGGTGTTTGCCACGTCCTTGCCTTGAGATGCAGGAGGAGGATGGAGCAGCCCAGACCATCCCTGCTGTCAGCTCCAACAGCCACTGGGAGCATCCTTCATTCCTGTGTGTTCATTTTTCAGCCTAATATATAATTTAAATAAGACCTCAGCCCAAAAATTCTACATCTGCACTTTCTCCTAGGACACTGAGCAGGGCAGAGGTGGTGGGCTCCAGGCAGTGGCCACCTGAAGATCTGTTCTGTTGGAGAAAGAAACATCCTCCCACTAATCTATCACTGCCTTTTTGGGGGGGAAATGAAAGCAGCAACTCTGTGTTGCTGAAGTTTCCATGGTTAAAGAACAAGTGCTCACAGGGACAGAGGTGGGCTGTGGGCTGCTTTGCACTCAGGCTGAGGTTAGGAAGATGATAATCTCTCCAAGAGCCCTGCCCACATTTCTGGCTTGGAAGAAGGAGTTTGAGGCTGTAGCAAAGTGATGGACTTGGTGTCACCTGGTCTGAGCAGTGCAGCTGGAGGGGTGAGACAGGCCAGGAGGGAAAATCAGATAAAAATCCAAACATCTCCACTCAAAGTGTCTCTAAAGCAGTCCATGGGACTTGACTGTGAACTGAACTCAATGAAAAAAAAGGAAGGAAGAGATCCAGATGAAGGGCAAATTCTTCATTAAGAGCTTAAATGGTCCAAATAAAGAATCAAACATGGCTATAGTTATTTGAGTTGTAATAGAATGAGACTTAATGAATATGTTACAACTGTGAAAGGGGAATAGAATATTTTCTCTGCTCTTCAAGAGAGATAAAGCTGAGGAAGGAATGGAAACAAGGGTGGTGAAAGAGGATAAATGAACAGACAGGAAAAAGCCACTTTGAACAACCAATCTGCTTCTGAGCCTCCACTTCCCTGGTGCATGGCTGGAGCCTTTTCTCTTTCTCTGGCCACATGGCTCTGCCTCCCAAAATCACTGCAGAATTGTGGAAAATCCTTCAGCTGAAGATGGTGGGATACCTTACTTTAATATTTTCAGCCAGGCTTCAGCTTTGTAGCTTATTCAAGAACAGGTTCTCCAGGCACCCAGGAATTTAACATTAATAACAGATGTTTTGACTGACTATGTAAGACATACAATGAGTTGGTTTGGTTTTTTGTTTGGACTGAAGAAATACTGAGAGGCAATTTCAACTCCTGGTTTTGTTTTCCAAGTGTTCTAGAAATTAATTTCCCAAATAAATATTTGGAAACATTACATTCCAAATATTTACCATAAACATAAACATTCCCTGGGATGTGGGACAGTTTTAGGCATGAGATCACACAAAGTACCACCATCATTACCAAGCTCCCTTTGGTGAATAACTCATCTCTCTAAACCTACCAAGCAATCTGAGCAGTTCTCACAGGTAAAATCATGCAGAGCTTCTGGAAGCTGCAGTCTGGAGGAAACCTTTGGTGGGAATTGCTGGAGAGGGATTTTCCCTGACTGTTCCACTGAGAGTTTAATGTGTGCCACAAAGCACAGGGCTGTGATTTTTGCCTATTGATGGTGGCTGTTGGTTGTCCCATTCACTCACAACTCAAGGAGATTCACCCACAACTCAAGGAGATTCCTGGTTTAGAAAAGGATTAGGGCCCATTCCTAAATCCTGGAACGATTAGGCAATAAATGCTGGATTGTAGCATTTCTCCCTCTGTGACCTTTCACTGGGCTCTATGTGCTGCCTTGTCCTGCTCCCCAGCTCCCCCTTTTAACAGACATTTGTTGTGTTTTCAGTTTTCAGAACCACTATTCCCCTTCCCCTGTGGAAGCAAGCATTCCCTCTCACCTCTGACAAAATGCATTTATGTACTTGCCTCATCCACAACCAGTCCTGAGTGACTTCACACTTTATTTCCACAATACCCCACAACTGCCAGGGCAGCACCACAGGTAGAAATGCCTGGAGGATGTGATGATCACCTCTGCCAAAGTGTTATGTTTTAGTGTTCTCAGCAACATTTTCTTCTTTTGTTTCCTCTGGAAACAGAACAAGGCACATGGCACAAACATGCATTCATGCTCAGTTTTAAACATGAGTTTTTGGAAGGTGTTTGCTTTCACGTTCAACCTGGTCTAGTGGAAGGGGGTTGGAAAGAGATGATCTTTAAACTCCCTTCCAAGCCAAACCATTCCATGATTGTCTGATTCTATAAATTGCCCTATATGAATATTTCTTGTTTCATCCAAGTCTCAATCCTACCACCACAACAAATTGAAGTAACAACTGGTTGCTGTGTTTGTAGACAAAAGTGAACTTTCTCCAAGCTTGAGAACACAAAAGTGTGTAGAAATTTTCTTAAATACAAACTAAAAATCGATTTAATAGTTTCTCAGTGCCTTCCACTTCATACTTGTCCCAACATGGCTAAGTTGCTGAGATATATCTGCTCCACTGAAGGAGTAAAGGTCATGTATCTTTCTAGATGTCACCAGAGCTGCAGGCACACAGGTGAAGTCCTAGGTATAGGTAAGAAGAACATTCACTTCAACCCTTTGGGGAAAAAAAAGTGCACCACAAATCCAGTATTATTTAGTTTGGTTATTTTTTAACAAAATGTTGGCACCCACAGGGCAGAATAAGAGATTTGTGGCTAAAATAGAGCCAGGGAAAGAGCAAGTGAATCTATTCAGGGATACAGTTGGGAACACTGTGCTTGGATCAGACAGCAATGGCTCTCACCAGATCCATTCCCAGCTCAGCCGTGCCCGGGGTCACCTTTCCATCAGGGATCAACCAAGACGAGGGATCAGGTCACAGAAATGCCCCAGCAATTCTCTTCTTCCCAGAAATCTAAATTTAAAAAGGGTCTAGTGCGCACATAGCAAATGTTTCACAAAGTTTGATGGTGTGTAATTGCTTGTGGCACATGCAATTCCTCAGCTGGGGTTTTCTGTGGATTTACAGTAGGTCTTCCTCCCAAAGCTGCAGTGTGTGCACAATCCTGTAATTACACCTGTAAATCCTCACCCCACCTCTTTCAACTAAATATAAAACATGTTTCAATTTGCAAAAATGGTAAAATTGTGTGTTGCAACCTTCACATCTGTTGCAGAAACTACAAATTTTTCAAGTATCTACAGTTTCCTCCATGGTACTGCAGGAAAATCCTGTGCCAAGGATCACATCTTGTCTGCCCATGGTTTGAAAGTGGTTACTGATTTTTGTCTGCCCATTGGAATGGCCTTTCCTTGTGGAAAATAAAGCCAATTCAGACACATTTAATGGAAGAACCAGTTTGCTTGGACCAAGAAGAACATGACACCATCCTGCAGCATGCAGGAAAGGAAAACCAGGAGCACCCATGGGAAGGGGGCACCCCAGTGCTGCTGGACAAGGGGGTACTTTTGTAGGATGCCAAATACCACAGATCCTCATTTGCAAGAGAAAAAACTGCAGAGTTTGAGAGGGGCAGGTCGAGCGAATTCACATTTTCCTCATTCTTCTACTTCTTGTCCTGACTTGGAGCCACAGAAAATCTTCCCTCATTTGTATCACATAAGACTATTTTTATGTGCCTTTGCACTGCCTTCCACTTAATCATTAAGTCCTGCTGATGACTTTAGTGTCACTTCCCACTATTTGACTGCAGCTCTTGGTCATTTCCCCAGGTTTTTTGCTGTTTTATGCTGTGCTATAAAGTGGAGTTACCTCATGGCAGCAGGACTGACTCAGCTCTACCTTGGGAATGCTGGTAGCTGATCTCCAGTCAGTGTTTTAGAGCTTCTTGCCATTATTTCCTAATGGCTTAAGACTCTGCTTCAGTTTGGTTATAGCCTGTTTGTTGTCTGCCTAATTCCTGAGCATGTCCTGAGAAACTGCAAGCAGGTGGAGTGGGAGCTTGATGCTGGGCTGGTCTAGGTGACATCAATGACTGCCACTTGTAAAGTCCTTCTCTTGCTCTTTATTCCTTGGGGCTCCCACATCCCCACAGTTCCACTCACAGCAACCATAACACTCCTATTTTGAATAAGAAAGTGCCTTTTTACTTCCCCCCCTTTTTTTTTTTAAGCAGCAGAGTGCCATGGAAGTCCCTGCCCTGAGTGTTTGTAGCTATAAAAGCATGTCAGATGTGGCTGTATTTGCAGACAACAGTGGCACTTCCTCTCTTCGGAAATGGAGCAAGTTTCTATTTTGGGCTGTGCTGACTCAAGGCTGAGGTACCCAAGCTGATTCAGCAGCTGGGCAAGTGAGGAGAACTTCTGGTTATGAATGAAATGAGCAATATATTTAAGTTTGTCTTCATCTTAAAGAAATGTGTATTTGAGTGAAGCCACCTCCTGGTGGCAGACATTTTGTCAGATAAGTGGAATTTTCTGCACTGCTTTTGGCAAAAAGTCCACTCCAGTGAGACAACCATAAAGACTGCAAGTAAAATCCTGGTCCCAGAGGAGCCAGAGATTTCCACTCATCCAGACTGGGATTCATCCTCTCTTTTGAGTCACATAAAAAGATCTTCTACTGCTTACTTGCTTATTTAATCTGTGCATCTCATCTGGGATATGAAATCGTCTCAGTGATATGAATAAACTGAAGAGTAATTTCAGAAGGATGAAAATAGAGAACACAAAACCAACCTGGGCTCTGCAAGGAGGTGAGAATGCCCCACCCATTTACTCAGCTTCTGTGGCTTCATATGGAACAGATGTCAAAGGCAACTCTTGTGCTCTTCTGCTATGGAATAATGAAATGAACATTGTGATACTTTATAATTTTTAAAACCATGAAGAAGTAACAGTGTTTCACAATACTTGTCAAGGTTGACCTGTTAGTCTGTGAAAAGAAGCCAGAAGATTTGTTGAGTTTTGGTTTTCCTAAATGAGTTCTTTCACCTGGAGACTTCCAGGATTCAAAATAAAGCATGCAATAAATGCTCTGCATGTCAGTAAGGATGAAGACACAGAAGTTTGTCAGAAAGTGAGATCTTTCTGTTTATTAAGAGAAAATAGCATGACATGGGGCATCTGAGCTGTCTCCCTTGAGCCCCCTTCTGTCTGTGGATGGTCCAAACAGGTTTTAACATCCTTGCCTCCATCTTTGTGCTGTTTCCAGGCAGGATCAGTAATCCCCACAGTCCTCACCCATGGCATCCATGATGCCTGTTCAGGCTGCAAGCTCTTCCTTTGACTGCACACAACAAAAGCTGCAAACTTTCAAAGGCCATTCCTCCTCCCCAGCCCCAGCAGCCCCTCTGGCATTAAGGCAGGCTGTTGTTGCAGCCAGCCATGTTCTCCTGCCTCCTGAAGGCGGTTTGTGAAGTCTAAAAAAGCATCATGTGGGCTGTCACATTTCAGAAGCCCCTAAATAGCTTTGCATGCCTCCATCAGATAAGCAGTCAAGTACAATATTATGAATGTCAAACAACAGCTCATCATTACAGCTGACAAAGCTTGTTCCTCTGAGAGGGGAAGTAAATACAGTTCCATAGACTAAATGTGTATTTAGTGGCTTGAAGTTAAAAGAACTCTGCAAGGAGGATTTGCATTTGCCCAGCTATTGCTCTGTGAAATATTTCCTCTAACTAATTTTCCTCTGAGAAAGGAAAGCAGTCCCAGAGTATTTTGGAAGGGTGGTCAGAGTTCTCCACAGGGAAGAAGCACAACCAAGTCCAGAATGAAGCCAGGGCTCAGGATCCAGCCTGCATGGAGGCTCCCAGCTCTACCAGGATGGCTCATTGTGCTGGCTAAGAAAGTGATCCAGAGGAAGCATCTTCCTTAAAGGATGTGACAGACATGACCCACTCAGGTGCTGCCTTAGGGACACACTGGCTGTTACACCCATCTGGATAAAAACAAATCAGAAGGTGGTGGTGGTGAGGAAATAACAAATACAACCTCAAACCACTTCTTGTTCTCTAAAACAAATCTCAGTCACACTAAAAATGAATCCAAGCATCACTGGTGTTTGTGGTTTTCTGCTTTCATGCATTTAATCTGCTACTTGAATTCAACAGAGAAAAATGTACACAATAAAAGCAAAGTGAAATTAAAAATTCAGTGTTTCAGGAGACAGCATGAGATCTGTCCCAGCCAGTGCTAATGAAATTGAAGAGAGCTGTTCCTTGACTGCACATGCAGGGAGTTTCCATGGACAGGGGAAGGTGGGGAGTGTTGGGTGGCTGTTCCACCCAAAGGATCAAGTGGAGGAGGAGGATGGGAGCCTGCAGGTTAAAAGTTTAATGGGAGCTCCTTGGGGGAGCAAGGATTCTGCACAACCCTGAAACCCCCATGAGCAGCTTACCAAAGGAGGGTCTGACAAGTCAGATGTCTCCTTCCATCCCATCTCCCTCCTTCAAACCCATAAACAAAAGCTGGGAAAGAGGAACTATTTTATTAGTGGAGATCAAAAGCTGTCTCTGACCAGTAGCCAGACAAAATTTGGCATCATGTGGGTGACTCAGTGAAAACTTGTGATGTAGCCAGTATCTTTGATGTGATTCTGTTTATTCTAAGAACATACAAAGTACCACTTTATGGAGCCCAGGGGAACAAGACCAAAAAATCTATGCTGGAATTTCAGTACCTTTTAAATCTCTAAGTTCAAATCACCCAACATAAATCTTACAGGTTTGCATAAGAAAAAAATAAAAACACTGGTAGTTTTACCTTAAATTCTCTGCCAATGAGGTAAAAAACTTTTTTTCTTTTCCCACCACACCTTTGAATCCTTGGAAACTGTTGCACTTCTTTAATCCTGCAGATTAAATAAATTTATCATCCTGTACGAAGTAAGAATGTAACTTAAAGTATATTTAGATGAATCAATAAAAAGGCTGGAAAGAAGTTTTAGTAATTTTATCAATTAATAGCCAAGCCCAGGAGGCCATCCTGCCTTTCTGCTCTGTCAGCTCAGGGATTTCTCTCTTCCCAACAGTGTTTATGTAAGAGCTGCATGGTAAGCAGCACTCCCTATAAAATATTGATCAGCTAAGCCATTAGCTGGAATTCAAGAGACAACTATGTCACAGCAAAACCAGAACAATTATTGCTATTAACTGGAATTTTTGGAGATTAGTTTGATATTTGAGCATGTCAGGAAATACAAATTTCTTCTAAACAATAACACTAGGAACATATGTTACAGCATGGTTACAGGACATCTTTACAAAGGAAATGGAAAATAGGGCAGGTTTCAATTTCAGTAATGGTGTGGCCACAGATTTTCTATTACTATTTTTGAAAAAGAGTACAGAGAGTCATAGACCATTATGGCTGGAAAAGGCCTCCAAGGCCATTGAGTCCACCCTTTGACCCAAAACTACTGTGCTCACTAATCCATACTGTGAAGTACCATGTCCACTTGTTTTTTGAGCACTTCCAGGGATGGTGACCCCACCACTGCCATGGGCACTTTGTGCCAGTGTCTGGCTGCCTTTCCAGTGAAGAATCTTTCCCAGTATCTGATCTGAACTGGTCTTGGCACAACTTGAGCCTGTTTCATCCTGTCCCTGTTCCCTGGGAGCAGAACCCAACTCTTACCCGGCTGTCCCCTCCTGTCAGGAGTTGTGCAGAGCCACAAGGTTCCCCCTGAGCCTCCTTTTCTCCAGGCTGAGCCCCTTCCCAGCTGCCTCAGCCCCTCCCGGTGCTCCTGACACATCCCAGAACACTCTCCAGCCCCTCAATGTCTGTCTTGTCTTGAGGGGCCGAAAACTCACCCCGGGATTGGAGGTGCCCAGTACAGGGGATGGTCACTGCCCTGCTCCCATGGCCACAATGTCACTATTATTACATTAGAGCCATTGGCTTTATTTTACGGGATGCTGGGTTCTTCAGAGGAGAAGGGACTGCAGGAGGAAGGGAGGCTGGAGTGAAGCGCTTCACTGGAGAAGGCTCACCTGGAATAAAGTAAATGGGATTCAGGGAAGGAGAAGCCACAGCAGGAAGAACTGGGGCTGGAGCTGAGGGAGATGAGGTGGGACCAGTTTGGGAACATCACCTGTGAGCAAGGGTGAGGGATGCAGAGCTGGGGAGAGGAGAGGGAGCTCTAGCACCAGCAGAGAGAAGCCCTGTGAAGAAGGAAAGCCACGGTCCATCTGCGAGAAGAGATAATGAAACCGAGGGAGCGGTGCAGGCGAGATAGCGTCAGCCATAAACAAGCGGAGAACGAGGAGAAAAATAACCCAGCGAGTTTGCAGCGGGGCTCGGGTTGAATTGTTTGGTGAAGTGCGTGTTGTCTGCGCATGGCAAATGTCAGCCGGTGGGGAGGGCGGTGGCGGGGGCAGCCCGGGAACCCCGGCGCTCGGCCCCGCGGACTGTCCCCGCTAAGGTGCCGCCTGGCTCTCGCCACCTTCGCTGTCCCGTCCCTGTTTCACGGAGGGCGCCATCGACATCACACCCGTCCCTCTCTGAGGGGACGGTCCCCGCTCCTGCCCGCGACCCTCGCACTGAGGCGGGAAGTGTGTGTTTGTGTGTAGGGGGGGGCGCGCTCCCGCCGCGCCGCCGCGCCCAATTGGCCAGCGGGGGCGCGCTCCCGCAGCCCCCCCGAACCCCCCCCCGCGCCGTGAGGAAGATGGTGGCGGCCGCTTGAGCGCGTCCCCGCGCTCCCCTTCCTCCCCTCAGACGGGCGGGCGGGCGGAGCAGAGGAGAGCGGCTGCTGCTGCCGTCCCGGCTGGGCGGGCGGCTGAGGGCGGGAGGCGGCCCCTCGTCGGCGGCCGTGCGGGGAGGAAGCGGCGGGCAGCTGCAGCCGACATGGAGGAGCGGTCCCCTCCCGGCGGGGGCCCGACGTCCCCCCCGCGGGGCTGAGCCAGCGGCCCGCCCGCCCCGCGCCTCGGGAGGGCTGCGGGGGAGCGGGGCCAGCGGCGGGCGGCGGCAGCCCCGGCCCGGCTCGGCCCAGGCGAGGGGACTATGCGGGGCTGCCCCGGCGCGCAGTGTGCGGAGCCCGGCGAGCGGCCGATCGCCGCGGCGCTGCCCGGCCGCCCCTACGCGGCGGGGACCGGAGGAGACTAGAGGCGACTCTGCGAGGAGCCCGGTGGCTTCGGCAACCCCAGAGACCCAAGTCCGGCGCGGGCTCTTGAGGAGGAATTGACAACATGGCTTCCCCACCGCACCAGCAGCTGCTGCATCACCACAGCACCGAGGTGAGCTGCGACTCCAGCGGGGACAGCAACAGCGTGACGGTGAAAATCAACCCCAAGCAGCACCAGGGCTGCACCTCTTCCAAGCACTGCAAGTACAGCATCTCCTCCAGCTGCAGCTCGGGCGAGTCGGGGGGCGCCCGCCGAGCCGGCGGAGCGGGCGGCACTGGCTCCGGCCTCCGCCGGCAGAAGAAGCTGCCGCAGCTCTTCGAGAGGGCCTCTTCCAAGTGGTGGAACCCCAAGTTCGACTCCAACAACCTGGAGGAGGCTTGCATGGAGAGATGCTTCCCGCAGACGCAGCGCAGGTTTCGCTATGCCCTCTTCTACATTGGCGTGGCCTGTCTGCTCTGGGGCATCTACTTCGGCATACACATGAGAGAGAAACAGATTGTGTTCATGGTGCCGGCTCTGTGCTTCCTCCTGGTATGTGTAGCTTTTTTTGTGTTCACTTTCACTAAGACTTATGCCCGCCATTATGTATGGACTTCGCTGACACTCACCCTCCTGGTGTTTGCTCTGACCCTCGCTCCGCAGTTCCAGGCTCTGAAGCCTGTCTCAGGAAGTGGTGACATGTCCAACCGGACTCTCCCGGCAGATCCCACGGACACTTGTCTTTCTCAAGTGGGCAGTTTTTCTATGTGTATTGAAGTGCTCTTGTTGCTTTACACAGTGATGCACTTACCCCTGTATTTAAGCTTGTTCCTGGGACTGTCGTACTCGGTCCTCTTCGAGACCTTTGGTTATCACTTCCGTGATGAGAACTGTTTCACACCTCTGGGAGCTGGTGCGGTTTACTGGGAGCTGTTGAGTAAAGCCTTCCTGCACATCTGCATCCACGCCATCGGTATTCATTTATTTATCATGTCCGAAGTCAGATCAAGAAGCACATTCCTGAAAGTGGGGCAATCCATCATGCACGGAAAAGACTTAGAAGTGGAAAAAGCCCTGAAAGAGAGGATGATTCATTCTGTTATGCCAAGAATAATAGCCGATGACTTAATGAAGCAGGGGGATGATGAAAGTGAAAACTCCATCAAACGTCATTCCACCTCAAGCCCCAAAAACAGGAAGAAGAAGCCCTCCATCCAGAAAACCCCCATAATATTCCGTCCCTTTAAAATGCAGCAGATCGAGCAAGTGAGCATTTTGTTCGCGGATATCGTCGGCTTCACGAAAATGAGCGCCAACAAATCAGCCCACGCCCTGGTGGGACTCCTGAATGACCTCTTTGGACGCTTTGACCGTCTGTGTGAGGACACTAAATGTGAGAAGATCAGCACTTTGGGAGACTGTTACTACTGCGTGGCCGGCTGCCCTGAGCCCCGGGCAGACCATGCCTACTGCTGCATCGAGATGGGCTTGGGCATGATCAAAGCCATCGAGCAGTTCTGCCAGGAGAAGAAAGAAATGGTGAACATGAGAGTCGGTGTTCACACCGGGACAGTCCTGTGTGGCATCTTGGGCATGAGGAGGTTCAAGTTCGATGTGTGGTCCAACGATGTCAATTTGGCCAATCTGATGGAGCAGCTTGGGGTGGCCGGCAAGGTCCATATTTCGGAAGCTACTGCCAAATATTTGGATGATCGCTATGAAATGGAGGATGGCAAGGTGGTTGAGCGCGTCGGTCAGAGCGTGGTAGCCGACCAGTTAAAAGGTACGTGCTTTTATTTTGTGCTTGTTTTTCTTCTGTGAGGTAACAGAGTTGCCCCAGTGCCTGCTCTGTGCTTGCTGACCGCGTTTTACATTTATCTCGGTGTGCTGACGATCACAAACACCGGGGGAATTACAGGATAAAAGATGCCAGGGAGATAAGCGTGAGAGATCATCTGTGGTGCTCAACATAGGCTTTGAAACTCAGCGCTCCTTCTGAGAGTGTTGCCTTGCAGGGAGGAGAAGGTTCATGTGTTTGCTGTCTGCGAGAGGTTTTTGTTTTACTGTTGTGTGTCATCCTTTAATTCTGTAAGTAAACTTGTTAATTGACTTCGTGTGCCATACAGAGAGCATATGTGTTTTGCAAAATTATGTATATCTGTGAAAAGGTTTTTTTGGCATCAGGAGAGTTGGGACTGAGAAGGCATTTGGGAAAAATGACAGCTGGATTCACAGAAAGAAATGAGCACTGTAGATTTGGCAGTTTGATATGGCAAGTTGTTGCAGTTTGGAGTTAGGCTGGAAAAAGTTACTCAGGTGGCTCAGTGAGCTGGCAGATGCTCTCATTTCTGCAGCTCAAGGGATCTGGGGATGAAATGGCAAATTTGCCTTTTGGAGAAGAAAATGAAGGATCCTTCGGTTCCCTTTGGTTAAAAGTCTGATTTTCATTTTTCTGCAGTGTTCATTTTGAAGGGAAACTCCCGGCTGCTTTCTAGCAGCACTCAGAGGCGCGTGCGGGAGGATTGTATGAGCTGAGGATTTAATTGTCTCTTTTGTCAAAGCTGTGTCTCTCCAGTGCCCTGCCTTTGTCTCACAGAGAGATTGTTGTCTGCAGTGCTCCCAGTCCAAGGTGGGGAGCAGATGGATCTAAATGGGAGTGGAATATGTAACGAACCCTGGTATGGCCTGTGAGTTTATTTGTTCTCCTTATAAAAGCACCCATTTTGATGAAGTAACCTGGAAAACTGAGTGGAAGAACCCTAAGGAGTCATAAACTGGCATAGTGATGGAGGAAAGAGATATTTGTGGCAACAAACACAAAAGGAGGCCGGAAAGGTCAGTGAGTAAGGACGTGGGGACAGCGCTGCAGAGCAGCGGTGGCAGTGGCAGCTGCTTGCCCCTGGCAGGTGCTTGTTTTGATGTGACACAAAAACTTATTTTTGGTGAGCGAGCTGAGCTGTCTGCCTGCATAGGGCGGCGGGGCTGCAGCGGGAGCCTCCCAGGCAGCAGCGACATTGCCTCTGCCATTGCTGCCTGCGAGCCACGGGGCTGAAGCAGATGTGTGGCCCTGGGCTTGGGCTTTCTGCTGAGCTTCTAAAAATACCGATTCAGTGAATTTCTTTGGGAAGTGTTGACACTGATGGATTTCAGTGGGAGTGTGCTTTCAAGAAAACAGCATAAGATGTAACCTCGTTGTTACTCTAAGATGAATTTCGCTGTTCTAATGGAAATAGATTGAACAGGTTGTAAAGAAACAGCCCTGTGATATTTCCCCCTTCCGTGTACCTTTACAGCCAAATGCAGTGTGAAGGCTGTGTTGTAGCTACAAATAAAAAATTCAGTATTTTTGCTGCATTTATTACTGTTCTCAATATTAATCCCAAACTGACATGAACTTAGCTGTGGAGACTGCTCCTAAATGTTCTTATTTATTTGTTTATATTTTCTAGGAGATCACAAGAGCATTGTGTAGAGCAGTTATACCACATGCCAGCAGTGGGTTTTTCATGGTCTTTCTCAGACTTCTGTTCTGTCCTTGGTTGCCATCTATCACGAGAGGGCACAGGCTGCTCTGCCTCCTCAGTACAGAGGTTTGGATTTTGCAGCTCTGAATGCCTTTCACAGCTCCTGCTCCAGCCAGGGTACTACAGATGGACAAACTGACACACAGTCTAGATAAGATGAGATTTGCTTTGTGAGCTGACATTTCATGGTCTCTTCTTACCCTGAAATGTAGCTAGGAAAGCAGCTGGAGCATGTGGTAAGAATTACTTTAACAAGGAATATGGGTTGGGCTTTGCTTTTTCCCCATTTCCCTTCTGTATTTTTTTTTTTGTAGAGCTGTAATCAGCTGCCATTTCTTACCAATGTCTTATGCAGTTATAGAAATCAGAGGCTGTGTGTTTTTCCTTGCCATGACTTTGCCCTTAGCCACAGGTTTGTAGCACACCTAACCCTGTTCCCTCCCTGCCCAGACCCTCAGGGGGATGTGCTGTGGTAGTTAGTGGGTGCTTCAGAGCTGCCCATTTTTCCTGTTTCCTCAGAACTTTGTTCTGCAGCCAGATTACTCAGCTTGTAGGTAAATGCCATCAGGGCAAAAAACACATCAAAGGCAATGATAAAAAGCCATCAGACAGCAGTGCCAGGGGCTGGTGTGTAGGATCTGCTGCAGGGGAGGGTTTTGTTAGGGAGCGGCTCTGAGATTTAATAAGGAAAACTGAGATTTCACCTCTTAATTAATTGATCTCTGCCAAGCACCTGCTCAGTTCTGTGAATGGAGGTGCTGTTAGGAAGCTTTGCTTTGCTGTTTTCCCTGAAAATCTGTTGATAGTAGCAATAGAGAAGAGGAAGTTTGCAGTGGTTGTTTAATTATCTCATACCCTGTACTCTCTTCAAGTATAAAAGTGCTGTACAGATAGCACACATAAGCTTTGTTTCCCTACCAGTACTTCAATTCTCAGCTTCCTTTCAACCTTTGATATCTTAATTATATCCTATTTTTGATGCTGTATGTCTAGTGTATTATCTCTTAATTGTCTGAGCTGCAGCAGCCGTAGCTGTCTTTGAGGCTGAGTCAACAGGAGCAAGTAAACTCTTCAAAGAGCAGAAGGAGGAGGTGCTGAGCACACCATGTCCACGTCCTGCACACTTCAGGACTTGCACCTAACACTGCTCCTGGAGCAGCTCTTGGAACAAAACCCCCTCTGTGGCTGGAGCACGTGGGGCTGCTCCTTTGGCTGGGTTCACTCCCCAGGAATCCAGGTACAGCTCTCCAGGGTGTGGGGGAGTCACTTGGGCAAACTGCTTCAAAACCCTGCTCCCCATTCCCTTGGAAATACTCAGCTTCATGTGCTCCAAGTTATCCTAGTGCTGCTCTTCCTGGTTTTGGAGAGGAGGCAAAACTCAATTTCTTTCTGGAATCTTAGGATGGGAATATCTTTTCTTCCTCCTTTGCTTCCTTGGCTCCTTAGTGCAAGCAGGGAGGCCCTGGTGTGTTCCCTGCAGTTTCTGACTTTGGAATGAAATAGATGGTGCCTAGAAGAAACCAACAAGTGATGCCTTGTAAAAAAATTTTGCCTATTTCTGACTGCTCTGTTTTAAGATTCCTTAGATCCTTGTTTTCACAGTACCAGATCCCCTTGGATGTGAAGGGAGTGCAGGAGAGTTTTACAGTGAATTTTTGAGATCCACAGATAAACCCCAGCCATCAGTTCAATTATATCTTCCATACTAACTTTCCTGTAGATTTGAGATAATTCACTTTGTCTGTTTTCTTGCAGAGCTTCCTAGCAAATAAATTTATTGAGGATTATGAGATACTGAGAGTCACATAACACAGGTTAATGTGTCCCTTTTGAGCTCTGGAGGCAGAGATCTCTTGGGATAGAAAAACTTCTGCTTATGGAAATATTTTTGTTTTGCTCTGTTCTTCTTGGTTGTTTGCATTTCTCTTTCTTGTTGCTTGGGAGGTCACAATATTGCTATTTACCAGCCAGCAACTCTTCCAGAAATATCAGGGTCACTGGCATCTTGTTTTTTGAGTGCTCAAAATAAGCATGTTGGGGCAAGAATGCTTTCTCTGTGTTTATAGGGCATAGCACAGCAGAACCAAGATTTCATTTGGGGCCTCTCTGTGTGCACTGATACCCAAAATAATTCCCAAACTTTCTGCAGCCAGACATCTCCTTGTTAAGTTTGCCTCAAAGAGTGCCTTTATTGCTGTATTCCTGTTAGAAGCTCTTGATAATACAACCATGCTTTTCTCTCGGATTTGATCCCTTATTTCATCATGGAGAAAGTGCTGGGGGATTGTTGTGCTCTGTGTCACCTGGCTGAGGCAGGGCTGGTGGCACAGGGAAGGGTGGCTTTCACTGCACTCACTGCAGGAGCACCCACCAGGTCACCTGTGGCCAGCAGTTCCTGAAAAAGCTTTTCAAAGATCTCCAGCTGATGTGCTGCTTTCACTGCTCTCTGTGTTTTTTAAATATTTACTAATAATTTTAAATGTTTCTTTAGTAATAAGTAAATTGGTTATAAAAATCACCATTTTGCTCAGTGGTGAAACCTTTTTTAGTCCATGAA